TAATAGCAGGGATGGTTATACTCACAATGACCACAGGGGGCAACAAGGACAGAGGACAGTTATACCCTGGGATGACCACAGGGAGGGCAGAAAGCACCGCAACTCCAGGAAGCAGCTGCTGACCAGCAGCACTGCCCTCCCCACCCTGGCCTGCCCTGGGGAACAGCTGGCAGGCAGTGTAGGCCCTACCACCTTGGACTTGCCTTGGGAAGAAGCTAGTAGGCATGCCTACCCTCTGAGCTCCCTTGTCCTTTTCCTTGAGTTCCCTCACACCCCCTGCCTCGATTTTTGCACCATCCCATCCTGAGTCTCTCCTCATCCCAAGCCTGACTCCTGCAACCACTTCACCCCTAGACCCTCTGCACCCCCAACCCAGACTCCGACACCCCCCACATTCCCAATGTCCTTTCCTAAGCCCCCCACCTCCCCAATCCCCTGCTCAGCCTCCTGCACCTCCGATCCCAGCCCCTGCCCTGACAGACCCAAGCAACAGTGTGTAAGGCTTTAAACATGAAGATTTATCTGGCATTACTCGGGTCCTTAACTCAAACAAGTTTTGTTTTTCTTCATTTAAATCATTGTTCTGGGGTGGAGCTGGGGATGAGGGGTTCACTATGCAGGCTACCCCTGGTGAGAGGACAACCCTATCCTTCTCTCACCCCAGCACCTTGGGGCCAAGTCAGAAGCACCTGTCCATGGTAGCTATGGCTGCAGCAGGCACAGCTGGGGGAGGGATGAAAGTCCCCTGACCTGAGAACAGACAGACTCACAAACTCTCTGAGATTATATATATATATATATATATATATATATATATAGACACACACACACACACACACACACAGTAGATTGCTGACCCTTTCTTCACTCCTGCCCTCTGCTGGCCCAATGGTATTATTGCTGTCCAGGTATCATCTCTGGCCACTTGCTGCCCCCTGTGGTCATTCTAGAGTATAACTGTCCTTCCTATCAGACCCTTCCCTTTCCATTCTAGGAGAAACAATCAAATTCCACCGCGTTGTCCTGGCAGGACCAAACCCATATCTTGCTTTAAGTTATGATAAGAGGAAGCTGCCTACAAATTAGGTGGCCCTAGCTCTTACTGTTTAGGAGGAGTTCTCGAATCAATGGACTCACAGGTGGACAGAGTAAGATATATAGCCCCGGAAAACTGCTGTGAGGTCAATAGTATTTTCTTTTTAGCAAACGGTTAAACTGGAGCACAGAGAAATGACTGGGCCCTGGTTCAAAAGTTAAGCTCTGATTATAGCATTGGGAATAAAACTCAAGAAGCCTAATGCCCAGTCACATCTATCCTGCCTAGCTGGGTTTTCACTTCAGCCTTTGAATTCTCCCATCAACATGTATCAAACGCTTGATTTGTCCATTGTTTGGGGGAAGTATTTGGCTCAGGCACAATTATTTCTTATTTTCATTACACCTTGTGAAATTCAACAGCTAGGGTTTACTACTTCCAGGAGCCTTCCCTGAGGGCCTTCTGTGGCCCTGTCCATGGATAATGCTTTTAAAGCTATTTCCCATTTATTTAAACAAAAGTATTTTAAAATTAGGCTGTGGCCCACACACCGTAAATCAGGCCCTGAAGAGAGAAAGGTGGGGCTGGAGCTGACAACAAAGGAGCCTCATTTTCAGATCACTTGTTTTGCAGCACAGCCTGCAGCTGAATTTATGGCAGCTGATTTTATGTAACGTCCTCAGTGTTGGAGGAGCACGGGCCAGTGGGGAGCTGCTGTCGTTCAGAGGCTCTGATCATGTGCAGTCCTGTCTGCAGTGGAGCCCAGCACTTGCCACGCTGTGCAGCATTGCCTGGGGCCTTCAGCAAGCACAGGGTCTCATAGCTGCACCTGGTACATTAATGATAACTAACTGGCCAGTCTATACTGCTGCTTGACTTGGGTCACTCAGGGGTGTGAAAAAGCCCCCCAAGCAACACAAGTTTTGTGCTGTCACATTGGAGCTAAGTTGCTGAGGTAGAGCAGCGGTATTGCTGGGGGCACACACACCTTGTCACAGGGCCACCTTCACTAGCTGTGCGGCAGCAGCCCAGCTGTGCCAATGAAGCACGGCAGCGTAGCCTTGCCCTCAGGAAGGCTGTGCAAACACTTTCCTGCCAAGGCTAATATTTACTGCACCGCAGCTCTCTCTTGACAGAGACAGGGCAGACTCAATGCACTAACCACACACACGCACCTGGACAACATGGACATTATTAACCTAAAGGAAACAGCCCAGCATCAGTTAGTGTCAATTTTCAAAGAACCCAACTGCCAATGCCACCATTTCCTCACATTGGTACTGACCCTAACAAGCCATGTCTGCTCCTCCAACAGAAGGGCCAGGGACCTCCCCTCCAAATCAGCAGCCCACAAGCCCATTTCCCTTTCTCGTCTGCACAACTGGCAGATTTTTCCCTTCTGCTCATTCCCCTGCTCTGCGCACACAGAGTGGCTCTCACCAGTTGGCCTGTTTGATTTGAAGGCAGGAGTGTCAATAACAGGATGTTGACCCCTGCCCCATGTGGCCCAAAGGCTGGGTCTGTCACACCTGCCAGACTTGAGTCCAGCCTAAGCAAGGAGGGAAACTGCTCCTCAGTCAGATTACTGTCTCTAGCAAGTAAGTGCCTGGGTGACTACAGGCTTCTGGGGCAGCCTGTTTGGGGAGCTCCCAGACATTCACCAAGAGCTGACAGCTCTACGTTCCTGCATTGTCAGGTTCGAGTTTGACAAGTCCTTCACCGTCAGGGCCACTGGTTTCCCTGTGGTGCTATGACAGCGTAGCTCCTGTCCCTTCCTGGGCCAGTGGTAAAACTCAGATGAATGTGCAGTGCTGAGACTATATTCATGACAAGAGACCCAAGCAGATGCTCCACTGCCTCAGGGCCAGCAGCTGTTCAGATGCCTGGTGTGCTCCATTGCACATAATAGGCAGAAGAAAACAAGCTCTTACTGCTCCTACAGGGGGGATGCTGATTTAAGAGAAATTAAATGACAAAACATTTTAAATTATTCCACACCCCCTTGATTTGGCAGTAATTCTGGCAGTGAACATGTGGTTCCCCCTGTGACCAAAAGAGCTGCAGTGATACTGGGATGCGCAAGCAGGAATCTGGGAGAGAGGTTATTTCATTTCTGGTATTAGGCACTGGTGCAACCTCTGCTGGAATAGTGTGTCCAGTGCTGGTTTTCCCAAATCTAGAAAGATGTTGATAAATTGGAGAATTCAGGGAAGAGCCACAAAAGAATGATTAGAGAGTCACAAAGCATGTCTTCTCATGCTGGGCTACATGGAAAAGGTCGCTTAGTGCATAGAGTATCTACATGGAGAATACTGATTTAAGAATAGGCTCTTCAATGCAGCAGAGAAAGAGCTAACATGGCTGGAAGTTGAAGCTAGGCAAACAGACTAGAAGTAATGCATGCATTTTTAAAGGGAAGAGTAGTTAGCCATGGGAACAACATACCAAGGGTCAATGTGGATTCTCCATCACTGAGTGTTTTTAAATCAAGGTCACACGATTTTCTAAAATCTGCTCTAGTGATTATTTTGGGGCTATTCTGTGGCCGGTTCTATACAGAACATTCAATTAGATAATCACAAGAGACCTTCTGGCCTAGAAATCTCTGAATCTTTCATCTGCAGCCATGAGCCATTGACAAACCTCAGGAACAGATGCTGCAGGTTAATCCATTCTCCTCTCTGCAGAGGACTCAGGATGCAGCTTCCTGCTGGCTACAGCAGCATTTTTAGTTCAGCCAGACTTATACATTTCCCCTTTTTGTTTGTAATAAATATAGCCCTGCAAATCTGTGGATATCCTCTGGCCGTTCTTGCAGATTGGGGATGGATACAGATCCAAATTTTGTATCTAAAGCTGAAGATTTTCAGGGCTATCTGCTTTGTATCCACAGATCATTTTTGCAGATCAGATGCAAACTAAAATTTTGTATCTATACAGAGCTCTCCTAATTAAGGCAGGTGGTAAGGCAGCAGCACTGGGGCTCTGTTTGCTTTGCTCCTTATCTCCAGGACCAGGTGCTACAGCAATTCTACTAAGAGTGACAGATACAGGCCTCTCCCACACAGGACTTTAAACCACAACAGCTGCTCTGTACACAATGACAGCATCCTCCAAGTTCAGTCCTTGGCAGCAGGGGTTTTGGAAATTCTCATCCCTTTGCTTTATCCCCCCATTTCACCCAGAAGAGTACATTTCAACCAACCTGTCACTCATTAGTTTAACTTCATGTACTGAGTTCCCTCAGCATGTTTAAGTTATGTCTATCTGGGAAGAAAAAAAAAAGCATGTCTGGGCTGAGTCAGCAAACTTGGACTCAAGACACCCAAAAAATCACCGTGTAGATGCTCACACTCAGACTGGACCCAATTCTCTGGGACCCTGAGAGGGGAAGCTAGTGAAGGGATTTATGGAAGCTCATTCCAGATAACTCATTCCTTGTAAGAGACACCTGCAGCGCCTGGATCCACAGATGAATGCTTCGCCTAGGGAAAAACACCTTCGCCTAGGGACACCTTGGAGGGCCAGCAGGGGGACTAAAAAAAGGTTCAGTTGGATGCAATATGCTGAGTCCGCTTTCAAGACATGTTCGCTATGAGCTCCTGCAGAAGCAGCAGTGTGCAGGGGCTGCAAAGGCTCTTATCACTCGGCCCTATACACTTTGCCCTCAGCCCACGGAGCCAGCTTACTACTGAAGGGGAGCTGAAACTTGGAAAATAAAAAAGCCAAACCCTAGCTCAGGCCCAAGTGCCTATCAACCAGAGACACAGTCACAGGAAGGGGAGGAGGGTGAGACATCACTGGAAGTTGCTACTGGCTCTTCTTGGGGAGCATGAAAGCTACAGTATAAAGCTGTTGGGCTGGCCAGTTGATTACACCATGGAGGGAAGAGTCCCTTGCATCCAGCCCCCAGGGAAAAGTGTAAGATCAGCTCCTAGAGAACTCACTAGAACTGTAGGAATGCCTCCATCCGCAGCATTCCCCCTTCTGTACTATGCATGGAACATTTATGCTGGTGTTGATACCCCCGTCCCAGCTATCAGGTATGCCTAGAGTCCAGCCACAGAAGACCTATACACCAACAGCAGGGACATCTTTATCTCTTCACCTTAACTGTGCTGCAGTACTGCCCTCTGGTGGAATTGCTTCACCTAGCAGCAAATTTACCCACATCTGAAGAAACTAGCTTTGTAAAACAGCCTAGAGCAAACATCTCTTTTTTCCAAACACAGAAACGTGTACCTGTGCTCAGGACACTACAGAGCTTATTCCGATCCTTGGTTTTCATTACAGAAAGGCAGTTTGCTTTCCTTCTGTCCTGGGGATAATCTATGGATTTCCTGTTGCTCCCAGATCGGGTGGGATAGATAGAAGTAAATGTGAAGTCGCCCAACCTTTCCTGCTATTTGTGGGCCCGAGGAGCAGGAACAAGGTAGAAGCTACTGATAATGTAAATAGCAAACAGATCGTAACATTTTCTTACAATTTGGTAAATTAAAAATTCTAACAAAAAATAGCACAAGCTGTGTCTAAAACACCACACCTTCCCCTCCCTCTCCTGTCCGTACGCTCAGGCCAATGCCATCTTCTCTGTATCATGACTTTTCTAAGCTACACAGCAGGCTCTTTGGAGCCAGGACTGTCCTTTACTAGGTTGTAAAACAGTACACACTCCTCTACTGTATGGAGAATAACTGTGTTTCAGTTAGTATCAGCATTTATTTGCTTGGGTTATTGTTTGCCACAAGGACAAGACAGCCTCTTTTACTATATACTTTCTCAACGTCCATGCAGTGTACCATGCAGTGTAACAGACATAAGGATGCTCAAGCTTCCTCTGGCCCATAGTCTTATAGAGGTTTTACACCTGCCTCTGAATGGACTATTTCAGAACAACCTGCCCCAAGGAAGTTTCTTCCTAACTTTGGCAGTTGGCCTTGTGCCTTGAAGCAAGATTCATATTCTTCCTCTGGGGCTGTTTTTCCTTACCCATTTGTATGGATAACGTGCCCTCTTTGGGGGGGAAATTTCAAACTTGTCTTTTCCCCACATTCTAAATGGACAGAATGGAATTAATAAAAGTCCTAGCGAGCCAATCAGGAGGCAAAAAGATTTGCTGCTGCTTCGCAATTCCTGAATGGACTGTGAGATGCTAATAAGGATGCAGCAGCAATGTCTTCTGATTGGCTACGAAGTCCTGTGATGTTTAAGTCTCTATCTTATGCCTCTAAAAGGTCAACACTAAAGTTTGGAACAATGTTAACCAATCAGAGGCCAGGATTCAGCATCTGTTTAGTCACTGGGAGGCTTCTGCCATTTCTTAACAGCCCCGTGGCACAAATGGGTGAGAGGCCCCAGGCTGGAGAGACAGGGAGAGCTGTTCAAATCAAGCACGCTGGGATTTAAAACAGTTTATTCTGTCACTAGAGAGAGAACTGAATGCAAACCGAGAGTCAAACTGAAGAGAAACATGGAGGCTGCTGCTGGAAGCAGGAGACGGAGAAAGGAGTTAGAGCTCGGGCTGTGATATCTCCCACTTGGCAATGGCTGGATATAACACGGAGGCAGCCATAAACCTGGCTCTCTCTGTGCCTTCCACGTGAAGGAGACCCCTCATTTCCTTACAGACAACTGAGTCCATCCAGTTCATGCTCAGCCATGGTCTGAGATGCAGCTTCAAGAATCAAGACTTTTTAAACTAGCTTCCCTGTAGCATTGTTAGCATCTGAAATGGCTGAAAGTGGCTGCACGTACCCACACCAAGTGACCCACTTACAAACAAAAAGATACTTTGACTGTGCAAGGTAGAGCCCTTCTAAGCAGTGCTCTCTCAAGGCTGCTGTCTCTGCCGTCACAACTTCATGAGGCGAGCAATTTGGTCACGTCTCCTCCGGTCTCCAGCCCACAACTTGCTCTTGGTGCGGAATTTCAGCAACTCTGCCTTGTAATCCTGGTGGTGCATTGGGCAGTAATCCTGGGGTTCGCACAGCTCCTGATAAGGGAAGACATGTTATCCAGCTAGGACATGGGAACACGAGTCAGCGCATGTAAACAATTCCTGTGGCGGGAGCTGGGGCTGCTGTGGTTTTGGTGGGATGGGATGGTTTCTTTGGTTTCACCTCACTGGTAACCAACAACAACAACTAGTGGGCAGTGGGGCAGAGTCTAGTGGCTCAAGCACAGCAATGGGCACTCATTTCTAATCCTACTGCTGACACTTGTGGCCTTGAGGCAAGTCAGCCCGTCTCAGGAGGTCTGAGGCTTCTTACACCCCCATCTACTGGATACCCTGCCATTACCATGTACTCAGGGAAGAACTCCTTGTAGCCTCCCTTCAGGACATAGAGCTCGGGATAGTGCAGAGCAGGGTACTCATTCATGGCTCGATCTTCCTCCCTCAGATAGCGGCACCTTCAAACAGCAACACGTGGAGCTCAGTGAGCCAGGCAGCAGCTGGAGTGCCTGTCCCCTGATCCAGCTGCCTGTCCCCAGCTCTCACCAGACAGCACCTGCACTCACATCTTGGGGCCCCTTTCGGAGGAGAATTCACAGTGGAAAACGAGGATGATGCGTTTCTGTGGCACGGCTGGGAGGAGAGGCTTCTTCAGGAAGAACTGAAAGACATCTTCCTGCCTGTGAAAGTTCAGAGCCCCCTGCGGTGCAGAAAGGAGGGGGGAGAGAAAGTCAACAGCCAGGGGTGGCTCATTACAGACCCCTGGGGCCCCTGCCCAGTTCCATCCCCTCCTTCAGACCCTGCCCTGTTCCCTCACCTTGATGTGCCCCCCCAGATACTCATAGGGGTAGCGACAGTCGACGATGTAGAATGTCTCAATCAAGCTTTGGAATTGCCCAAAGAGCAGAGCAGCCACCTGTGAAAGATGCAAGGTATGTTTAAAGGATTCAACAAGGATGGGCAGTTCCCTGCTACCCAGCATCCCCTTTGAGACAGAACTGCTGTTGTTGCCAAAACAGCAAGAGGCAAAGACTGTGTGCTGCATACTGCACGCTGCACAGTGCCAAATACACAGGAACAGTCAGGCAATGCTGGTAGCTGGAAAGGGGTGTGTCCAGCTACATCTTAGAAATAGCAAACTAGAAGCAGCTTCATCAGCCAGGTCAAAGAGCCCTCACCAACCTGTTGTAAAGCAGAAGTAACTCCTTGTTACTTAACATTCCACACAAGGATGTTGGAAGGGCAGGGGAGACCGAGCTTGGGGCATAGGCACACTTGCGGTGTGGAAGGACACAGTTACAAACACAGTGGATGGGGGGAGGCATTGCTCACAATCTCCGGGGTGATGTATCTCAGATCCTGTTGCCTTCCTGTCACTGTTGGCAGAGCGTACGCCTGAAGAGACATTCCCAGTCCAGCTCAGAATCATAATAGCTACAAGGCCCCTGCACTTCCAGATACTCAAACACGGAATAATTCTCCCCCCCCCCCCACACACACACTTTATGGTGACTGTCCCTGTATCCTTCAGCCTCCCATCTGCTCCCTCCACCCATTTTCCATCCTCTGATTAAATCTGTAACTGTTCCTTTGAGTATAGGGTTCCCGTGTTTGCGGAGAGGTATTCCTCTCTGATCCTCGACATACCTGCCATCTCCCTGCGGGTATCAGATTTCATTTTGAATCAAAGATTGTTTAACCCAGAAGCCAAACCCCTCCCCTCTAGGAGTGTCTCGGGGGCAGGGGGGAGGGGGAATCACAGCTGAGGATTCTCATCTCATTGCTGTGCAGCAAGGAAGAGAACCAGCTCTGCACATCAACATTCGGTGACTCCTTCTCCCACATCAAGGCCTACCGCGTCAGAGAGCCAGGAGACTGCTCAAGGCAGAGGAGGCGGGAACAGACACAGACCTTAGAGAAGTCCCCAATGAGCTGTCGGAAGCCACAGTCCTGATCTAGAACTTTGACAATCTCCATGTCTGAGAGTGAAGCCGTCTTCTTCAGAGCTGTGCCCTGCAGCCAACCAGAGAGCCATCAACGATATGCAAGCCAACCAGTCTCTAACCAGCTATATCACTGCATGGTTCTGTCCATGTGTGCCAGGTAGGCTGGGCAACATCTGTGTCTCAGTTTCTCCAAAGCAAAGGCTGAGCTATCCCTCCAAAGCCCCTGGCAAAAGAACCTGAGAATGGCCCAGTACCCTATCTTCCCATAGTGGCCAGTGCCCGGTGCCCCAGAAGGAATGAACAGAACAGAAAATCAAGTGATCAGCCCCGTTGCCCAATCCCAGCGTCTGGTAGACAGAAGATAGGGACACAATTCCTGCCCATCCTGGCTAATAGCTATTGATGGGCCTGTCTTCCATTAATTCATGTAGGACTTTCTTTGAACCCCATTATAGTCTTGGACTTCACAACATCCTCTGGCAAGGAGTTCCACAAGTTGTGTGTTGAGTGACGAACTATTCACTTTTGTTTTAAACCTGCTGCCTATTCATTTCATTTGGTGACCCCTAGTTACTGTACTAGGAGTAAACAGCATTTCCTTATTTTCTGTCTCCATACCGGTCATGATTTTATAGACCTCTATCATATCCCCCCTTAGTTGTCTCTTTTCTAAGCTGAAAAGTCCCAGTTTTATTAATATCTCCTCATATGGCAGCTGTTCCAAACCCTTAATTAATTTTGCTGCCATTTTCTAAACCTTTTCTAATTCCAATATATCTTCATATGGAGTTCCCACACATGCACACAGTATTTAAGATGCGTGTGGTACTATGGATTTATTTAAGGCAATGATATTTTTTGTCATATTCTCTATCCCTTTTCCCAAAATTCTGTTCACTTTTTTGACACAAACACTGAGTGGATGTTTTCAGAAAACTTGCCATAATGGCTCCAAGATCTGTCTTGAACTGTAATAGCTAATTTAGACTCCATCATTTTTTATATTATATATATATATTTGGGGTTATGTTTTCCAATATGCATTTATCAACAGTGAATTTCATTTGCCATTTTGTTATCCAGTTTTGAGAGAGTCCTTTGTAATTCTATGCATTCTGCTTTGGACTTATCTATTTTGAACAATTTATATCATCTTCAAATTTTGCCACCTCATGGATTACCCCTTTCTCCAAAATCATTTATGAATATGTTGAATAGGATTGTTCCCGGTATGGACATCTGTGGGACACCTCAAGTTTCCTCTCTCCAAACTGACCATTTATTCCTACCCTTTGTTTCTTATCTTTCAACCACTTACTGATCCATGAGAGGGCCTTCCTATGACAGCTTATTTTACATTACTCTTTGGTGAAGGACTTTATGAAAGACTTTTGAAAATCTAAGTATATTGTATCCACTGGATCATCTTTGTCCACATGCTTTTGACTCCTCAAATTCTAGTAGGTTGGTGAGGCATGATTTCTTTTTGCAAAAGCCATGTTGACTCTTTCCTAACATGTGCATCTGTGAGTCTGATAATTCTGGCATTAAATTCTGAAGAAGCTGCCTTAGCTGGTTTCTTCTTCTGCATTCAGACACTACACACATCAACCTTATTTTAGCTGCTGCTAAGTGACAAACAATTGGCCAATAAGATTTGGGGAAGGACTGGGGTATCAGGAGACAAATAGGCTGAGCTGGAGTCCTGGTCTGGCTCCCATACCCGCTCCAGTTCCTCATAGGCAGGGCTGTGTCTCCGTTTCACCTTGACTGGGGTTTCATTATCCTGGCATCTCTCTAGTCGCTTCAGCACTGGTCTGTCCAACTTCTCTGGCATGGACGGTGAGCGGTAGAGGCGGCTTCTGTTAATGGAGACCTGCTTGGAGACAGACAAGAGGGGAAGGAAAGGCAAGTCACAGGAGGCATCACCTCAACTCCTTCAGACTTATGCTCCCTGCTCAGAAGCCTGGATTACAGAGACTCATCTTTGTAAACCTCCATTGGAGCTGAAAGCAAAGCAGCTCCTACTAGCCTGGCAATAAGTGGATAGTAGCAATGCCAGCCCCATCAGGCCCCCCCAGTCCAAGAACACTTTTTGCCTTGCAAGATACATGCTTTGCCCAGACACCTGGCTGGATCTGAATGAATGACGTATTAGTAGGTAAGCTCACTCACTTCACTGACGTTGATGTCCTGTGTGAGGAGGGGTCCAGAAAGCAGGACAGCCATGCTGGAGGAAAGGTTCCCAGCCACTGGATTCTGGGGGGCAGAGAAAGAGCATTAACCACCAGCACAACTCATCTCAAATCACTGTCAGGCACCCAGGAACCAAGAGTAACCTGCAGCCTACATGCTGCTGTGCCTGGTGATGGAGAAAGGACACACAACTTGACAGCAATGTTCCCAGGAGGATGTGGGGCCTGGGCAGAAGTGACAAATCCATCTGTTCCGAGACCAACCATGCTGGCCAATCACACTGGCCTCTGGGGCCCCCAGAGAGCAGTTGCCTCAATGTGCCATAAGCAAGGGATCTGCTTGTGTCCAGAAGGGCTGCTCACTACATGCCAGATCACTCCACTCCTCCAGATGTGCAAGGGGAGATGTGAGCTCTGCAGCGTCTCCCACAAGGATCTTTATGCAGCCTATCAAAGCTGCCCAAGTTCCTAGACGCAGCCAGAACTCTGCCATGCACCGGCTGCCTCTTGGCAGCATGCAGTCCAGTGCAGGACAGAGTCTGCGGTGCCTGTTTCCCCAGGCTGAGAATGGCTCCGTGAAGCACACAGTGGAGTACAGCCACTCCCCGACTTACAACCATCCGTTCTTACGACCAACCTCCCATTAACCCCATTATAATATTTTTGAGTTGAGAACCATGTACATCAAGTTTTTCAAACAGCACGGGCAGCGTGTTTAAGGGTATTTCCGACTTATGACTAAATCGAGTTACGACCAGGTGTTCGGAATGTAACCCATTCGTAAGTCGGGGACCGCCAGTACATGCAGACAGACGAGGACCATGCGTGGCTCCTCTCACCTCCATCTCTTCTTCTTCATCGGGGAAGAGCTCTTCAAAGCCACCCAAGTTCTCTGCCATTCTGCGAGGATGCGTTGCCACGGAAACAATTGGACTGCCCAAATCTTTCACATCACACTCCTGCATGCCCCCCACATCCTGCCAGGGAAGAGATGGAGTCCTGCAGCAGTGCCTTGCCTTCACCCACACAAGCTGCACTGAAGGCCCCAGACCTGCTCTGCTGTATTCTCCAGTGCCACTCACTGACACTAACTCCTGCTGGTGGAGAACCAGGTTCCACTATGGCTAGTCTGTTAGCTAACCCCAGAGAGAGCAAACTTCCTGACTGCCTGTATTGTCAAACCAACTATACACAAATCCTGGGACCTCGGATTCCTGCTTTCCACAGGGAGCAGGGCTACAGACAGTGCTCCCTTCCCTGGAAAAGGGAGCTCCGACTCACTTGTTCCCCTCCTCCAAATCTTAGTGAGGACTCATCTCCATCCAGCCCTGGCACTTAGGCATTGTCCACCTCACACTCACCATCATGCAGTCGGATCCGGAGAAGCCTGAAGCATTAACTTACCAGCTGAGCCGGGAGGCAAGTCACTAGAAAGCCTGTTGCTCTCTTGCGAAACAGCAGGGGCTTAGGCATTTGCCAACCTGGGTGCTTAAACCAGCTGCCTTCCTGAAACAAAATGAGGAGAAGGAGCCTCTAGCTGAGAGCTGGCCCCCTCTACTAGCTCCAAGGTCAAGAGCCAAAGACAATTTCAAACCTCCTCCTGGCATTAAACAGGCACTAGATTTTGGTTAGGAGTAGATTTTGGGGGGTTTTTGGGAGGAAGCGGGGGGCAACGCAATTTGGAGATCCTGGAGGATGTTGTCCCCTTGCATAGTCAATGTTTTGGGGAGGATTCTGTGCTACAGAGCTGCAGGACTGACATGTGCGCCCATCTGCTACCATTTCCAGCAAATGCCTGTGCAGCACCCCTTCCCCCAAGTCCAGCAGGTACTCACGTTTTCCTTCTCCAAGGGGCTGTCCATCTCATTGCCCTCTCGGCACGTGGCGCCTGGGGAACTTGGCGTGCTGCACAATACCTGGGGCTTCAATGCACAGAGGAGGACAATGGTAAACAGGAGCTCTGAGACCTACTGTACCCAACCCCCTTAACACCAGGCCACAGTCTGCTCAGATGCCCCAGCTGTTCTCAGTAGCAAACTAAGCTGGGTCCCAATGAAGAGTCATCACTTACCAGGAAAGATTTTATGTGCTGCCTCTGTGCCTTGCTGCAGGGAGAAAAACAGCTTGTTAGGGTGTCCTGGGGCTGCTCTGCTCCAGCCTGAACGTTCTTTGGTGGGACCCCAAAGTTGTTTGGGGCTGAAGACTGAGTTTAAAAACACACTAAGGGGCTCGTGACTCCCAGCCCCACCACTACCGCATTGCCTGGCAGCCTCCTGCGGTTGCTGCAGCTATGTAAAAGATTTGTGGTTCTGGCCCCTGCCAGGTAGTGTCACAACTGTGAGCTATGAACCATTAAACAGGGCCCTGCTGCCTGAGCCACCCCTGGAAAATCGGTATACAGGCAGCAGGATATATATATATATATATATAGAAAGCAGCCAGATGCAGTCCACAGGCTGGATCAAATTGTTAGGCGGGCTGGGTCCAGCCCCTGGGCCACATCTTGCCCAGCCCTTATCTAACGTTTAACCAGTTAACCATCGAAGTGGGACCCGGACAGGGGACTGTTCTAGCCCAGCTGGAACAGCTCCCAGCCCCATGCTGGGACAGGCTGTCAGCTCTCGGGCTGGGGCTTGGGCTGCCAGGGGCTCCCTGCAGATGGAGGCTGCTCTGGCTGGCTGGCGTGGGCCCCCTGCAGAGCTGGAGCAGCCCTCTGTCCTTGGCAGGCAGGAAGCTGCTTCAGCTCCCACCAGTAACCAATTAACCAGAACTGGTAAGCATTATCCATTTAGAGTAGCCAGATAACCTTTCACATCCCTAATAATTACAGTCCTTTTGGGTAAAAGAAAAAAGTTTCTGAGTTGGAGCTGCTGTTTTTGCCACTTGTGTTAAAGTCCTGAGCTGTCTCTTGGGGAAAAGAAATTAGTTGAGGTTAATGACAGCAGCAGCAACTCCAATTTAAATCCAACCTTGTTTCATCTTTGTTGGTGAGGATTCATTTGGCTTGGCTATGGGTGGTAATGTTGTCTCTCTCTCTGGCTCAGTCTAGTCATGGCATTGCTCATGGTTAGGGTAACAGAGGCCCAGGGACCCAGAAAATGGTGGGGATGGCAGCTTGCTTTTGTTTCTTCTTCCCTCTATCCTTTTCTATTTCCTTCCCCAAATCTCTTTAAGGATCCATAAATAGCAGCTAACGGGTCCTACAACTTGACCCTAACTGCAAAAAGGATATGAAAGTTCTAAGACATTACCTGTCATAACAGATGTTCTTGAAAGCAGGTCAAATTGTTTTCAGTAATAAATGTTATTATTTAGCCCACTAATTAGGGCTAATTTCTAATACAGGAATTTTGGTTAATTAAATTTCTGTTTCCACATCATCTATTTGTTTACCAAACATGCTTTTAGTGTAGTCCTTGAGTTATATCACAGTTCCCTTTTTTTTTAGACTAACTCAGTTCTTCTGTCTTCCTTCCCCCCCCCCCCCCAAGCATTTGTTTTTGTAGATTGTGATTATATACATGTTCATAATGTATTACAGCTGGGCTCACAATTAAGAGTAAGTTTGTATGCCTACGTATTACAACAAGCCTTCAGATTTACTCAGAAATCTTTTTGATTTTATCTTGCTGCTCTTTTCATACATGCAGCAGAAATAGATACATCCATAATAAAAACAACCATAAATGTTATCCTCCTGACCCCGCTGGAGACTGAAGCTGCCTTGCCACAGAACAGGCACTGGGTGGACAGCTGCAGCACAGAACTTCACTTGACCCCCTCGCATGCTCAACCACATTTTGGAAGGCTCACATCAAATGGGAATTCAATTACTGTGGCTCATTTAGTCCTTTGTCTCTCTACTGAGGCTACTGACAAAGCAGTGTTTTTTGGGGATGTGAAAACCTCCAAAACCTACGATGCTCATTTCACATGAGAACCAGAGCCATGAAACAGAAACTAGTTTTGGTTACCACCAACTGTAGCCAGATCTGAAGAGCTGACTGGAGGTGAAGGAGTCCACTGAGCCGCTCCTTAAATGAACAGTGGTTATAATTAAATAGGATTCAAAGGAGTGCAAAGACTTCGCAGCAGGAAAGAAAAGGTTTGCATGGCGTGCCATAGTCCATCTAGAACCTAAGCACTAACACTTCTTGCTTATCTGCACAGTATCTTCCAACCATCAGCCACTCACATTTTACAAAGATAAGACTATCTGGGCAGGGCAGGAAAGATTCCCGCTCGAGAGGAGTGGGGATCTCTTCCTCAGTCCAACCCAGATGTGTACTGCCATTTCAGAGTATATCATTCTGCATCTGATCTGGCTCGTTAACAGGAACTGCAGCTACTGTGGTGATGGGCATTCACAGAAGAGCCCTGATGTACAGAACTTACAGCCCATCCTTAGATCCTGAGGAGTCCACCCGACCTGCAATCCAAGAGAGGTAAGTCAGCAAAACACACAGTGGGCATGAGCATGGAGCATAAACTAGGAGCAGTCAGGAGAAATGAAGAAAAGGCCAACATGCTGTGCCTGCCCAAGACAGGAGATTAGACAGAAACGGATAATGGGAGCCTCCTAGTGAGGAGACCCAGGCTGTGGAATGGTCTCCAGGAAGTAACTGGAGACATTTCAAACTACAGTGGAAAAAGTCCTAGAACTTATACAGCAGGGCTCAATACAGCACAGTCCCAAGGGATGGGTGAAAAATCGATCTTTCCCGCTCTAGATTTGAAGATTCTGGGAGTCACAGAACCAGTGAAGAA